TCAAATGGGGTTAATTACTCCTATTTTGCAGAAAGCCTTCCAAAATCAGAGGAGGGAAACAAGCTAAAGGGTAAAAGGACGGCTAGGGTAATGATGGGGGACCCCAAATTAGCAGGAGCCGCCAAATGACCCCAGGAGCACTGCCATGGGCCTAGTTAGAGACCAGGGGCTCTGGAGGGGTGGGGCTTTAGCTGGCTTTGCACCCAGAAAAATCCAGAAACCCAAAACAGACTCCTCCCTCACCTCTATCCCACAGACTTGGGGCACCCAGCCTTCACCACTAGAGGAGCCCCAGCCTTTCAGGGAAGGGGGGAGGGTGTAATGTGAATGTAACCCACAAATGGCTTTAATGAGTTCCTCCCTTGCTAATTAGCAGGTCCACATGACAGGAACCTGAAAAGGCCAGTCTGTCTCAACAAGTCCCAGCAGGCCTGACTGGAGCACCAGAGAGGCCTTTGTCCAAGGACAGAGGGGACAGGGAAGGTTGGACTGGGCTGGAACACAGAGCAGAGGAGGAGGGAACACACAGGGAGGCAGCGCAGGGGTGGACCAGGAAGGGAAGAGCACACCCAGCAGGGCCTCGGCCTGCTAGCTAGGCTGTGACTCAGAGTGGCCTGCAGACCCACCTAGGACCTCTCCTGAAGGGCAGTCTCCCGCCATCAGAACATGGCAAACCCGCCATTCCAAACCCTGTGCACTGGACGGTGAGCTTAACAAGGCCTGGGGAACCCCGGCAACTTAAGGGCCGAACCGAAAAGAACGAAGCTGTCAACCCCCTTGAGTTGTGTGTGGTACTCAGGGTAGTGCCTGGTTCGATTAATAACTACTACTGATGATGATGTTATTACTATTATTGCTATTAATTTACTGAGTGGAAAAGAAGAGGCACCTCATAGCTTGTCACAAGGGAAGGCCTGGCTTTCTGGATTTGAACTACAGAAACCAGAGGAGCTTATATAATGAGGCGACAAAGAGGGTGTGTATGTGTGTGTGTGTACTGAGTGTGCGTACTGAATAGCCAGCAAACCACAGCACACCTCCAGGGGACAGGAGTAAACAAAAGTCTCCTTCACACGCCTGCAAAGCACAGGTCAGCGGAGCCCGGATCTGGCTAGAAATAACTGATCAGTTCCAAGGCTTCTACCCTTTAACCTGGCCTGAGACACAAGGTCAGAGGACCCAGGAGCAGGGAACTGCAGCCACCCTAGGGAGCTTTGGGAGCGGACACATTCCCTACATTTAGAATATGAAGGAATCCTAAGGGGAAGGAGGAGGTACATCTGTCGAAGGAAACCCCAGCATTCTCAAATTTCCCAGTACAAAAGAATGGCCCGGGACTCTGAAAAAACACAGGCTCTCCCAGCTCTAGCCCAGTGACTCTGACTTTGAGAGCCCGGGGTGGGCCCCCAGGGCTACGCATTTTAAATAAATGGACTATGTGCTTGTGACAAATGGGATTCACATTTGGAAAAACAAGACGAGAGAGTTTCCCAGCTAACAGGGAGTTCCATTGCTGGGGTGGGGTGGGGTGGCAGCAGGGGAAAAACCCTGGCTCAATTAATCCAAGAGGCAAGGGAGGAATCCAGAGCGACTGGCAGCCTTGTCTGAAGCAGCCTGGTCCCTTATCTCGGGATTTGCAAAGATCCACATCTCTACTTTCTCATGCATTTAAGAAACAACCTTGTAGCCTTTAAGACCCTTGCGTGGGATGGGGGAGGCTGAAGGCTTAATTATAATAGCAATTACATTACATGAAGCCCTCTTAACAGTTACTGGAATAAATCTTTGGGAAATTCTTTAAAGCAAAATTTACCCTTCACCACCTTCCTGTGACTATTTGCTTTTTACCTGCTGCCCTCCGCCTTCCCCGTGCAGAGTTTGACGTGACTACAGGAACAGAGGGGCAGTTTGTCTTCACCCCCTTCTAGTCTCTGCGTGGATTCTGCCCCCTCCATCCAACCTTGTGTTGGTCAAGGCTTGGACACTGCAGCTCCTCAAAGAATGCCAGACTCAGGGGCCCATGGGTTCCAGCTCCCACCCCTTGAGACATTAACATGACCTCTGCTTGTGGCCCCTTCCTCTGGTCTACAGCGAGGTTAGGGAAAAAACTGAGGCAGGTAACAGCAGGCACGCTAGAAATGATCCAATAAGAACAAAAATAACATCAATATAGATTTCTGGTATTTTTTTTCTATAAAGAGCCAGCTAGTAAATAGTTTTAGCTTTCTGGGCTACACAACCTCTGGTGTGTAGCCGGAGAAGAGCAGATATGTAACAGACTTAAATGATGGGTGTGGCTGAATGTCGTCTAATAAAACTTTATTTACAAAAACAGGCCACGGGCCAGATTTGAGCCAGGACCATAACTGGCATCTAATCATTTGCCAATTATTTTAATCTTTAGCATTTTTCTTTTTAGTGCTCTTAAAACCTCTGCTGAACACAAACTTCAAGCAATCATCCTGTAGGCAGTCTGGACACGATCCCCATGAAACAGAAGAAGAAAATAAGGCCCAGTGAGTGGCCAGCCCCCATTTTTGGCAGAGGCAGGATACCGAAGCAAGTCCAGCAGCATCTCCTTCACATCCCAGATCCCCAACACTGGCTCCTCCCACCCTAACTCCAAGCATATGCCCTGTTCAGCAGTGAGAAGGCCCTCTGCCACACCTACTGGCACCCTGGGGAACACCCCGGAAACACTAGGAGCCATCCTGCCAGGTGCATGTTGTGCAGGCTGCAACCAGGCTGAGTCAGCGAAAGGCCCAGCCCTGCCCTGGGGAATGGGAAGAGCTCCCCCCCACCTCCCCGGGGCTCCAGCCCTGCCTGGACTGACAAGGCAGCAGCTGACTGAGGGTGACAGGGCACCAAGCCCCCCCACTGCCCTCACTGGAGAGACAGCTCCAACAGCAGTAACCTGTCAGTCCAAGCAAAAATGCAGAGAAGTGTCTAAGGCCTGTCTGAAGTTTTCCCTTAGTGGAGAAATATGTGGGAACAAGGTGGGGGATGTTTTCAAAACAGATGACCCCCAAAGTCAAATGCTCCCTTGGATGGCTTTCCCGTAGCAAGTCAGCAAGGTGGCTAATGAATGTGTGGTCCCTGAAGCTCAACTGCCTGAGTTTAAAAATTAGCTCTGGCTCATGATGCAACTTTTGGGATAATGGAAATATTCTAAAACCAAATAGAGATGTTGCACAACTCTCTATGTCTACTAAAAATTCACTTAAAATGGTACACTTCAAATCCTGGTGTGATCTTGGGCGCATTATTCACCCTCTCTGTGCCTGTCTCCTCATCCATCGAACAGAAATGGCTATAGTAATAATGACGGCATCATAAGCTAGGTGAGGATTCGATGACTCAACATAAAGACTTAAGAGTGGTAACTTGCATCTAAGAAGGGGCCAGTGAGTAAGTTCAGGTCTCACAGTTCTATTGGACAGCATATATGTGTCTGTACATTCCTCACCATGCCTCCAACCTGCTCTGTGCCTCCTAGCCTATGCTTTTAGTGTGGGCTTGTCCAGGAAGAATCTTCCCTCTCAGTAAAAGTACTCTCTGATCCATTCAGAAGTCCTCTCTCTTCTCTGCTCCTGACACATGTCATCTTTTATAGCAAAGGCTCAGAAAGGGCTCAATGGCATAGTTAGCTCTGTTTACCCCCTGGTCAGAGACCCTTGGATCTGGGAGAGACACCATCTTGGTTGCCCTGCTCCTGTCCAGGGGCCTTATATCCCAACAAGACAAACCTTGGTGCCAGCATAAACACAACAGCAGGGACCGAGGTTATAACATTGTCCAGGGCCCTGGCACGGCAGCTATAAAGGTTCGTAGAGGTAGTATGCTGACAATGAGGGCAAGCAAGCTAACCCATGATGGCTGACCCTCCTTGGACCAGAGCCTCAGAGCTACACAAGAAGTGAACTCCTGCCCCTGCCCCACCCCCCAGCTATGGGGGTAAGAGAAGCAGTTATAGCATCCACAGCCAGCACATTGTCTGCAGATGCTTGCAGAGATCCACCACCCTGACTCCGGCAGCCAGCACCTGGTCAGGAGTGACTTTATCTCATATTGGGCTCCTGTGTCTGGACCCACAGACGCAGAGGTCACAGACTGGCATCGTGTGACCCCAGTGTTTGACTTCGTGTCTGGCACAGGCGGGATCCTGCTAGTAGTGGCTCCTGTTGAATTTTCCAGGGTCTCACCTGTGTAGAACCAAGTGTGTGGGCACCCAGAGAGCAAGCAGACCCCTCTCTTTGCCTATGAAACTGTCATGTGGAGACCCTGGGCCAGGAGAGGCCGGACAGCTGTGGCTACAGAGAAACGGCAGGGGAGAGGGAGAAGGTTGAAGGAGGGTCCACCCTCACCTGTCAGTTCTAGGCACACTACTCTGACTGAACAGAAACTGTGCGAGTGCGTGTGTGGGGTTGGGGGTGGGGGAATGTAAACACCGGGAAGATTTTCAGGCAACAATAACACAAACAGAAATTCCACAGGGGAGGGCAAATAAACACAACCTCATACAGGAACCCGGGGGGTCAGGTGCGGGGGGGGGGGGGCGGCCCCATTCTCGGACCTGGCTTTGCGGAGGATCTCCCCCTTCCCTGCACCTCCCCTACCTCCACCGCACCCCACTGCCACCCACCCACCTTTCCCAGAGACTCCCGGGTGCGGCTCCGCCTCCCCATTCCCGGCAGCTCCGCGCCGGCCAGTTCGCAGGTTGCAACGTGTTGGTTCCTTTCCCTGCGCGCCTTGCCGCGTCTCGCACCTTCCCAGTGGCCTGCTGCAGCCGCCGGGGCTCGGGGAAGGAGCTGCCCCAGGAGGGAGCAGCCCCGGGCGGGAGCAGCCCGGGAAGGAGCAGCCCCGGGAGGGAGCAGCCCCGGGAGGGAGCAGCCCCGAGTGGGAGCAGCTCCGGGAGTGAGCGGCCCCGCGGGAGCCTCCCCGGGGTGCGGGCGCGGCGCCCCGCAGCCTCGCGCCCTCCCTTCTGCCCCCTGCACACTTACCAAAATCCCTGCTCCCCTCCTCCGGGGCCTCTTTGGTGAAAATCCATGGGGGATTGGTGGCGTAGAGGGAGGTGGCGGCGGCGTTGGCATGCTTCTTGCCGAAGAGTTTGCTGAAGGTGCCCTGCACCGTCTGGTTCTTTTTCATGCTGCCGCAGGCCGCGCGGGCGCCGACGGAGGACAGTCCGTCCCTCGCCCTGCTTTGCCCGGGACTGAACACGGTCTCCCAGGGGACTCTACCAGGCCATGTTCCCCGCCGTCCTCCCCGCCCGCGCACCGGCCGACAGGTGCTGCGGGCGCCGCTGCTCGCCGGGAAGTGCGAGCTACCTGGACAGGTAAGAGGCTGCCGCTGAGACCCGGCCCCGCCCCGCGGCCGCCACCGCCGCTGCCGCCCCGCCGCCCAACTCCCCCGGCCGCATTCCTGCCTGCCTCCTTCCACAACAGGCCATTGTTGGCACGGCCGGTGGGCTGGGGACCTCGCCCGGCCCACGCCCAGCCTGGAAGACGAGCCACCCCCTTCTCCCGTCCCCTTCTGGCCCTCCCCCTTCACCCCGCTTCTCCCGGTGAAGGGAGGAGATCGGCAAGTTCCGACTTCTAAAGCGGTTCATGACCAGGTCAAGATGGGAACTGCGGGGCGCCGCTTGTGCCCAGACTGGAGACGTGGCTGGTCAAAGCCAGCCCGGCGGAGCCTGCGGGGGGGCCCTTCAGAAATGCGGATCGTGAGTGTTCAGTGGCTACTGGGAGGTGTCCGGAGACAAAAAAGGTAGAGGAGGAAATGGGATAACAAGCTAGGATGCCCATCTGATGACAAAAGTGGGAAATAATTGACAGCGCTCCAGAGAGAAAGTAGGATGACCAAGTCCTGGCCGCGTTTGATTCATCAAATCCTTTATTCCCTGTAATGTGAAATAAGTAATTTTTCAAAACTCCGATGCGATTCCGGTCGCACCGCATTAGAGGACCCTCCGAGTCACCCGCCCGAAGCTCCACTGGAGAAGACCGCATCAGATAAGAACCTGGGAGACTGAGGAAAGGATACCCCGTGGGAGGTCAGGCCAAGGGGCCCCATTCAGGTAATTCTGGGCAGCAGGAATGAAAGGGGGTACAGGGGTGATCTGAAGAGGCCCCCTTAGCCACATGTTCTCCCATAGTTGGAATTGTATTGTGCTTTGTGCCCAAGGCATTTCCCTCAGCTTCTCATTTTGAACAATTTAATACTAATAAAATACCCCCGGTCTGCCCCCTTCTCCTGGATTCAGCAATTGTTAACATGTTTCCACATTGCAAGTTCTCGCAATTTCCAGATACACTTTATACTCCTTATCCACAGCCTAAGACTTTCCTCAATGACCCCAGTATAGTTATCACACTCAAGATAATGAATGTCAACATACTATAGTCATCTGATGTAAACTCCACTTTAACAATTTCCCAATTATTCCCCCAAATGTCATTTTAGTTTGCTTTTTTAATCAAGATTCACACGTCACATTTGCTTGTCATGACCCTTTAATCTTTAATTTGCTACTATGTTCTGCTTTTTGTTTGTTTTTTGTGCCACTGATTTTTTTGAAAATGTCCTGTTGTTCCAGATTCATGGGTCAGGTTGAGTGGACTTTCTGGGCTGTTGTCTGTGAGGTCATTGCTTTCCTACCAGGAGAGGAGGACTGAAGGACTGATGGGGGATGGAGAAAAAACTTAGAAAAAAACTGTGTCCCCCCAGTTTTTTTTTTTCATCAGAGACACAACTGTGATCCATTCTGTCTTACCTCCAAGGCCACCTGCTACCAAGGTCCTCATAGAACTAATAATTCCTGTTCATTCAAGGCATATTAGTGGGTGGAGGCTCCCCCAGAGCTGTATTGAGGGTTTGGGTACTTGGGAAATATAAAGAGAATTATTGTTTCTTGTTTTTGCCATTCAGGATTGTGGGGTCTCATTGGGGAGATAAAGTTTGTATGATTCAAAACCACAGCCCATGGATGACTAAGTACAGAGCAGTGACTGCTGTCACTACTAGACACAGCAGGATTCAGAGGAAGGGAGGGAGGTTAGTGTGGGCTGGAGAAGTCCAGGAAGGCTTCTTGGAAAAGCTAAGACTTGAGCTGGCCCATGATGGATGACAAAGAGGTTACTAGAGAAGGGAAGGAGTCCATTCTAGGGCGTGTACACACAACACACCAGCCACCCTCTACCCACCCGTCTCCCATAGCATGGTCTCCCGCTGTTCACCTGGGAAGAACACAGAGGACCCTCTGGTGCCCATCAGCCCCTGGGCCAACTGTAGCAGATGCTCAGGTGTGAGGCAGAGGTTGGGGCAAAAGACTGCCAAGGCTTGAGGTCCCTCCACCTTGGGACCTCCTGAGCTGGTACACCCAGAACAAGCCAGTAGAACCACTGCTGAGGGGCTCCATTCACAATTTCTTTCTTTTTTTTTTAGATTTTAATTTTTTTTAAAGATTTATTTATTCATTCATATAGAACTGGGGTACAGGCCAGAGATGTGGAGGGTGAGAGGATTCACCAGGGACAGAGTGGGGAGCAGAACAGGCAGATCAACAAAGTACACTGCTGAGGAGAGCAGCGGGCGGGTCAGGAGAGGTCTGCCGCGCCATGTGGTCACCTCCAGGTCTGGCGGGAATCGAACTCATGCGGAAGTGGCTTTAGCTTCTCAGTGCTGTGCTTTAACCCGCTGAGCCACCAGGGAGGGCCAGATTTTAATTTTTATTTATGTATACAAGAGCTGGGGTATATAGGCCAGAGGTGTGGGAGATGAGAGGATTTATCAGAGACAGAAGTAGAACAGGGAGTAGACCAGGCAAATGTACTGAAATACACTGCTGAGGGGAGCAGCGGGCGGGTCAGGAGAGGTCTGCCGCAGCCATGTGGGTCAGCTCCCTGGCTGGGGATCGAACTCAGGCCTCAGTGGCTGGTGATGGCTTCATAGTGCTGAGGCTTTAACCTCTGTGCCAACAGGGAGGCCCCTCACCTGCAATTTCTACCGTCTAGCTAATATCCTGAGAACTGCTGTGTGACCAGCACTGGGCTTGAAGTCTTAGAGAAGTCAAAGACATGCTTCCTGAATCCTATTTGTTTTAGTCTGTTTGGGGAGACAGGGAGAGATGAAGAGTGGTGAGGAAAGTAAGGAACAGGAAATGGGACAGAGATTGAGAAAGGACCATCAGGGTGGACCAGAGGCTCTTCAGAAGGCCCAAAAGAGGTGAAAAAGTTGCTTCAGATACTAAGGATGTTGTGAAGCCAGGGACTGGGGGGTTGGAGAGAAGTCACAGCAAGGCTGCTCAGGGTGTGGTGGGCTGGTGATGTGAGAAACCCAAATTGCCCACCTGAGATGACTGGCTGAACAGATGATGGGCATGAGTCAGCCAACTCTGTCCAGTTAGCTCCAAGATAAACTAATTTTATTTTAAATTTATTTTTAATTGAGGTCATTTTTGGACACCCCCATAAGTTTTGCACCCACCGCCAGCACATCCATTGTCGTTTGTTCCCTCTTCCCTCTCACTCCTCCACCCCCTACCCAAGATAAATGCCTTTTTTTTTTCTTCAAAGTGAGTTAGAAATGAAATTTAGGCCCTCTCTGGTGGCGCGATGGGTTAAAGTACAGCACTGTGAAGCTGACTGCAGCCAATTTGGTGTGAGTTTGGTCCTGGCCCCGGAGGTGACCCACATGGCGCAGCAGACCTCTCCTGTCTTACCCGCTGCTCCGCTCAGCAGTGTGCTTCGTCAATCTGCCTGTTCGTGTCCTGCTAGTGAATCCTCACCGCTCCTGCACCTCTGGCCTGTACCCCAGTTCTGTACACATAAATAAATAAATCTTTTTAAAAAATGAAATGAAGCTTTATTGTACATGGAAGTACACATTTGAGAGTGAGTATAGGCAGATTCAGAGGAGACTCGTGCCAAAGATAAACTCTCGACAACATGTGTTGTATGCTGACCTTTAGGATGGGGTGGAATGGGAAAATGGCAGCCTAAGTTTGATCTTGTTTGTATTGCCACACAGAAACTTTGGAAAGACATATGAGAAAGTAATGAAAGTCATTACCGGAGGGTGAAGGTGGGGTAACTGGGCAAATGGAGGCACAGGAGAGGAGGGAGATTTTTCTGAATGCCTTTTTAATTTTCAAAACATGTAAATTAATGAGTTTGCTGTTTGAAAGTTGAAGAAAAAGGCCCTCCCTGGTGGTACAGAGGGTTAAGTCTTAGCATTAGGAAGCTATTGGCAGCCACTGCAGCACGAGTTTGATCCCTGGCCAGGGAGGCGACCCACATGGCCCAGCAGACCTCTCCTGTCTCACCTGGTGCTCCAGTGTGTTTCAGTCAATCCCCCTATTTTGCTCCCCACTCTGTTTCTGGTGAATCCTCTTATCTCCTCCTTTCCATCCCTCACCTGTGACCTGTACCCTAGCTCTTGTATGCATAAATAAATAAACCTTTAGGGGAAAAAAAAGGGCGCTGAAGAAAAAGTAATGAGGCGGGAAATTTAGTCTAGAAATATGGTCCAGAAAACAGAAGCATCTGCACCCCCTGGGATCCTACTAGACACACAGAATTTCTGGTCCCATCCAGATGCTGGACATCCTCTCTGGGCCTTCGTTTGTTATTCTGTAAAACCAGCTATCACTTAAGTTCGTTGTGAAATTCAGTGGCTGATGATTTAAGGTGCCAAGGAGAGCATCTGTATTTGAAGAGCTCCCCAGGTGACTCAGGTGCACATTAAGGTGTGAAACACTCTGGCCTTGTTCGAACAGTAGTAGCAGGCACCAGTGACGGCAGGATATGATGACGGGGAACAGCTGCATTGACAGGATGGTCATCTCACAACTGGATGCAGGACGAAAGTGTAAAGTGGCCTGCTAAGAGATGCCACTTAATCGATAAGCTGACTGCTTAACTGCTTGGTTAATGTTGCAAACTACAATGGATGGGGAAGGACTTGTATACTGGGGGCAGAAATAGAAAGAGCAGGCCCTCTCTGGTGGTGCAGCAGTTAAAGCACTGTGAAACTAGCTGAAGCAGCCTCAGCACAAGTTCGATCCCCGGACAGGGAGCTGACCCACATGGCCCAGCAGACCTCTCCTGTCTCACCTGCTGCTCCCCTCAGCAGTGTATTTCAGTCAATCTGCC